CCCCTTCCCTTTCACAGCGTGCCCGTCAGTCATGCAGCACCGTCCTCTCAAACCCCCCAATGCGTGCACTTCAACCCCCCCCCCCGCTGCGCGCTCCATTCATCTGGCCAATCAGTCATTTGTACAATTTGCTAGTTCGCCCAGAGTGAATTGGTTAACTTCTTTGGCCAAACACGACAACAACGCCACCGAAATCGGCCCTCCAATTAAGCGTTGCCTTCGGTCATCTTGATCATCTGTGTGGCGTAATCACGTCAATATACGCAACGGCCCGTTGTAATTCTAAAAGGCCTTGACATCAGGCTAGCACATTTCTCACAGAGGCCCAACGAGAGGTGATAATCAAACGCATTCCCTTGGTATTTAGAGGCTACATCCCAGAATATATTGAAAGGTGGTGAATGAACAGACTGGTAAGAGAGATTTAATTGCTGTAACTACGGACACAGACTTCCCTATGGGCTCTCAGTACACACAACGACTTACGACACCCACGTGACAGCAGTAAAAGAGGAAACAATTAAAATGTGTCCACCATTTGAACTTGCTTTGTGTTGAGCGCTAATCGAGGCATCGGATTGGGTACTTTGTTTACATGGGATTGGCCAACACTCGTTCAAGGGCTATATGAGTACCTTCAGTGTATTAATTAAACAACCCTAACATGCTGGGGTGTTTTGTGAAACGTACGGTTGACAAGGGTGCAAAATCTGCCAATGGCTTCGGGTCGTATTTTCGTTGCGCTCTGGTGTGGTCCATGTCGAGAGCTGGCACCCAGATTGGAACAGCTCACCAAAGGACACTCGTTAATCCGATCACTCCGGCCTCCGACACAGGGTCCCTCTTTTCGCAGCATGGCGCCAGCCTCGCGGATCCTCAACTCCCCCTCATTCGCACGAACGTTTACCCTGGATTATCTTCACACCTAGGTATAAACACACACGCGACACCAACGTGGTGGAGCTCTGAAGTAAGCGGTTGTGTCCACGTCCTCTCCTATCTTTTCCTTCATCGCGGGTATCAGGGATTCGTAATCGGTCCAGGGTTAATCTAGTGGCCCCGGCGTGGTTCAAGATCACATGCTGGGACCCACAACAATAGATTCTACTTTTGTCGTCAGTACTAAGACACTTGACGCATAATCCGCTTATGAAACGCCTAAACTTAGCGAATTGCACCTTTAGGTTCATTTGGTGTGGCAATTATCAAATTTCTCCACCTGCCCCACGTACTTCCAAATCGTAATGGCGCTAATGTTTGGAGCCCTGCCGTCGCTGAAAATCGTTCTCATTTACAGAAAGTATAAATTTGTCACCTTATTTCCGTATAACCCTTTGTTTCACTATGCTGTTCAGTTCGCTCCTCATCAAATAATACGTGAACATCAATACGTTCCGGGTCTTCCTTGTTGTGCTTTTTTTGTGAATCGCATTGATTCACACAAACAAATACGATCACTCCAGCCTCCGACACGGGGCCCCCCTTTTCACAGCATGTCGCAAGCCTCGCGGATCCTCAACTCCCCTCTCATTCACACGAACGTTTAGCCTGATTTATCCTCACACCTAGGTCCCATTCTCTCCTGTCTTCTACGTCATCGCAGGTAGTAGAGGAGTGCAACTGGGCCAGAGTCAACTCATTGGCCCCAGCGTGTGGTTCAAGACAACACGCTGGGGGCCACAACAATTGGTGTCTCCGACGTGGTGAAAGGTTCTCCAATTTCCACGACAATTAGTGACCCGACGGCAGACACCAAGACTTCTTCACTGTCACGGTCGAAATGCAATATTGCTAAGGGGTCATGTAATTGGAGAAAGTGTGCTGGATCTACGGCACGTGATTAGTAGGATTGGCTACCTGCTCAATAATTAAATCTTGCCTTTTTCGCACATTGACATTTTACCAGTTTTTTTTTTTTCAAATTACAGCTCGATAACAAATCAATCTTAATAACTAAGGAGCGATTACCAATTTGATGGCGATTTAAGACTTAACAGCTACAACGCTTTGATAACAGCCCCAAAAGAATCAACCATGACCGATTTTAAATTAGGGTTATTCCGGTTAGAAGGGGCTTTTGGATAGACCGATTTAACCACAATAGTGCACGTGTTGTTATCTTTCACCTGTATAAAGGCATTAATAATTGTGACAGATGCTGCAAGTAAAATTTAGCTAAGGACATTCATTGCATACATTAATTTAGCCCGACTATCAGTTTGTCGTGTTAACCTGCCGTTAAACCCACGTCCCCGTGCAAGCAAGATCGCCAGGCGGGTGCACTTTGGGGTGCCGCCGACAGACTCTCGCGATCGATAGGTACGTAGCTAGGACCAACCAAACAACTGATAGCCAGGGTGGTGCTACGCTGAGGTCTACGCGTCGTGCAGCGCTATTCTGTCATTGAGTAGTCCTTGGTACAGACTATCAGATAAGTTTGTAGTGAGTAAAAAAAACAGTTTAAAAGTAGGCGAAAATGAAGTTTTATATTTACATCAAAAGTCCATACTTCCGAGTCGGTGTTCCCTGATTACGATTAAAACAAAACATTCTTCCGGATCCCGCTAATAGTGTGTGGGTGAGTCGTGCCTTCACGGCCAGACATTTCAGGAAATCCCAGGCACATTTTGATTAGCATCCTCCGTTAATTACACTAGGCAATAACGAAAAGTGGGATACTATGTCAACTAATTAAGTACACACGAATGCTTATTAGTATAAAGCGGGTTGCCAAAGGTCAGATGGCGATCGAGCTATAGATTGGATTAGCTTTGTGCACAAATTTGACTCGGTGATCGCTCATTAATTTTCCCACAAATGTGGTAGTTGATATGTATAGGAGGTGAATAAGTAGAAGGACCAACCACTCCCTCGAAAAGAAGTTATTTTGCAAAGTTATCCATTGCCGTCTAAGGTTAGGGACGTATTATGGGAAAAAATAGCTCCGCCCCGCACTGACCACGTGCAAATCAATAAATGCGACATGATCAAGCGCAAACTGTACTATGGCGCAGCAGATTCAGCGGACAAAAAATGGGCAGCTGTCTTTCGTGCAGCAAAGCATCATCACTACTGAGATCAATCCATTCATCTACGGATTTCGAGGTGGCTCTGCTTCAACACAAGCTTCTGGTGGCGGTTTTTTCAGCTCCATGGTGTCTGACTTGCCAGGTGTTCGCACCAACCCTGGAAGACCTCGCTGCAGACTACCAAGAAGTTACCTTCTTAAAAATTAACATTGATGTCTGCAGTGATTTGGTTGAGGAGTATGAGGTGTGGTGGTTGCCAACTGTGATCATATTTCGGGATGGCGTCCAACGCGGACGTTTTGGGATCGGCCAGGAGCATCAGTTGAGGGAGGCACTGAGGGCGAATCTGGTCACCTGAGAGGCCCATTAAGGGACTTTACAAGAGACACGACTTCATTAGCGTTAGGATTCGAGGAGAAACATCAGTGCTTGAACACGATTACCAGGAAGTCTATAAGCCCTCCGACGACCGTGGTGCAAATTCCCCAATTTAAGAACGACGTCTGTCAAATTTTGTAACTTTGAATAAAATAGCTTTCAAAGATTCGAGGTTAGGCCTTATATGGGGTCCGTAATAAGCGCATCAGTTGAATGAGTTCTTTAAGACGAAACCGTCCGCCTGTGCTTGCTAAAAGTGGTTTAACCTGAAGTACTACTTTGGATGCTGAAACATTTTCTACGGGTGATTTCAATGAGTTAAAACGAATGTCATACTTTCCATTGTCAATTGGAACAAGCAATGGTTCCTAGAAACTGTAAAGTCACTAGCCGAATTAATGCCAAGCAAGAAATATAAGTGTACAAGCTCAAATAACACTCTAAACATTACGTGGTTACAAAGCTCTGAGTTCGATTACGTCATTCATAACCAAAGCAGCTTGGGGCAGATTCTCCATTATTACGAAGTGAACACATCCTGATCGCCGCACAGCCAGAATCACGAAGGTAACAAAAACGGGATAAGCAGGAATTATTAGCTAAATGTTACATTAACAGTTTTACTATGCAGAAGTAGCTTTGATTATCGTATATTCCAAGAAGTAATCGCGATTTCGTTTGACCATATTGGTAGCACACAATAGTAGACATGATATGAGACTCGTTTAAAGTTTATTTATTGAAGATTAAAGATTCCGCTTTGGCTAAGACATCTTGCGTAAGTAGCACATTTCATGCGCAGACTTCTCTTGCGCTAGCAGCAAATTACACAAAATTGCACTCAGTTAAAACCGTCTTATTGAATTTACTAATACAAATACCTACGAGATGAGGCAGAGTATAGAAAGTATGGAGTCATTTGAATTCTAAGATTAAACCATTAGCCAGGTCTGGAAGAAACAAATAGCTTGCCCTCTCTTCTTTTGTTAGCAAGAACCCTCATGTGGTGTGGAACATTTCATAGCTAGCGGTGCAATTACTTTTAGTTCAAATCGTCCTATTCATATGTATGCTAACCAACCATTAATTTGACGACATTTGTAATTATTTGATATCAGCAAAGTGTGATAAAGGACTGATGATGTCAGATTTCTTTAATTTTAGCTTGCCAAAATTGGGAACGCTTCCCTTTATTCGAAAAAAAAACAAAATCTCATGAGTTTTGAAGGAGCTTAATCAGCACCACACCTAATCACGAACCATAACAAATAAAGCAGGTTTAATTTGAAAAATTCAATCACAAATTAATGAAATTGATAATGGGATGGTTCGCCCATTTTGTACTAACTAAACTATTGACAAACCAAATGGACTACGGAGAGGTTGCGTACCCAAAGTAGCACTATTATGCCAAATGCCTTCGGAATATAAGCCTGTATCGTTGTCAATTTTTCGGTATTTTCATAACGAAGACGCGGGGACGTTAAAATTTTGTAGCCTAAATTAAACTACTCTAATATATCACCAGTGGAACCACACGGCGGAACTGATTATGCGGTTGTACGAGGGGCCATTCGCTCAAATTAAAACGCTGAGTAGTTATCACAAATACAAAATAACCACCCTCTTTGAAGTAGGTGTTGTGGATAGGAGGACATTCAGGAAAATTTCAACTCACCCGCTGACGCACCAAAGCGTCAATGGCCTGACTTGTGAGTTGGGTGGATCGCACACCGGCCAATAAAGCGAATCAAAACCACGCAAGAAGCACCCGACGAGTGCGGAGTGCACACGCGCACGGAAATTGCCGTTCGACTTGCCTCTAGTTAAGGTCCCATGGAGGCCCTAGGGGTGGGAGTGTGGACCAAACGGATGCGTCCAGCACAAGTTATCCCCACGACAACCACCTGCTCTACACGTGGCGCGTCAACCCCTCAACACCCCTGACAGCACTGCGAGCCCACGCAACTGACCTACCAAGCGGCAACTTTCCCAGACGCGAAGGGCTGCCATTCAATTAGACCGCAGGGCACAACCACCCACGGGTGGTAAGTTCAACCGGTTTCATCATCGTCTTGTGCAAACGAGCTCGATTGAAAAAGTGGCTCGTGACAGCATGAGCAAGTGAGAAAAACGCGAGGCGCTTTGACAGCTCAGCCCACCCAGGGCGAAAACTCACAAGCATGTGGATTTTTTACGTCGTTTATTCTTTGAATTATGTAGTAATATGTATGTTTACGCAAATGAAGGTTTAAATAAAAAATGGCTCATATATATATATATATATCTATGTGAGTATTATAATGAGGATGATGAGTAGGAAAGCACCTATTATACTGGACAAGGTATTTACATAGGTGGTGGAGGTGCGGCGCGATAAAGAAAAGGGAGCAAATGATAAGACGTCGAGAAAAAATATACAAGTAGTGTTGATATATACGAGTGTGAAGTATAAAAAGTAAGGGAGTGGTAAGTGGATGAGACATCTCTGAGTGATAGCAGACGTAGTCGAGGTACCAATACATGGCATCAGTTTTAGCTGGGTTTGATTGTCGAGGGAGGGAGGGAGGGTGATGGGAAGTGATTGTGTCTAGTCGTGTTTGTGTGTATGTGTTTTCCTGGTTCGAGATCACAAGAAAAAAATGCATAGGCAGTTAGATGGTTGGGTAATCTGTAATTCGCGATAAAATCTCGGGCTGGGGGCAAGAGATAGCCAGACCGACCCGCTCCCTTTGACCAACTTCTCCCCACGCACCATCCTTCCCTCCGCCGTCCCGTTCACGACCGTCTGGACAACGCGCGCTTACACTGGGGAGAGGCGGGTGGTGGTGACACTGGGGATACTGGAGGGGAGGATGCTCCTTCGGGAACACCTTCGATTGCAATCGAAACTGGCTGTCAACGATGGGCCGCACATCGGGCTAAAGAGATCAAATAGCGAAGCGCATGTGTCTCAGGCGTTGCACAATATGACCAAAACGAAGAGCAACAAGAGGACACACTTAATAGCAATGACAGGCATGTCTTGAAGCAGACATGAAAACTTGGCACCAAGACACATAAAGTACAAACTGATAACAAAAAAGAGAGTCATAGCTGCTACACGACCTGCGACGAGAGCGCGGAGCCCGAGACATCAGTACGCAATTGTACGAAGTCCGCGTAATTGAAACAATCCTTGCTACGAGTTCCCCTGTCGAAAAAGCGGGCCGTTGACGGATTACCACAGTCTAAGTGAGCTACAACCGCTTCGGTGTCGCTTCCTTAAGCCACGGCAAAGAATTGCGCTTGGTGAACCAAGATATTCACAATTAATGACAGAAAACATTGGGCTTGAAATTGGTTATAACACGAGAGGATGGGATTGTCCGGAAATCCATCCAGATTGCGATGTGTGGAAAGTAGCCATCCTCCCACAGCTGCTCCAACAAGACAGAAGCATTTCGGATGCAAGCATGCACCAGATACCACATAACTAAAGGAAAATGTTCGGTGTTTGACTAATTAAAGCCAAAACAATGATCCAATTAGCAGCAGAAACTATTTTCATTTGTACATAACCACCAACCAAGTTTGCGCGGTCATATCAGTTAAAGCAGGTCCGTAAGAGATGCGTAAGTGCTTTTGACCAATAACTTTCGCATCCGCTAGGACGACAAGGACCTAGTTGGTCGATTGAAGCGAACAAAACAAATAGACCGTCAGAGGATGTTGAGACGCAACTCACCGTTTGGGCAAGTCGTTCGAGGAGGGGGAGGAGCTTCATGAGTTCGTTGTCATCTTGGTCGGTGAACCAACTTTCGATAGGTATGCCATTGCTTAGCTACAAACACAAAAATCACAATTAAACATCGGCTAATTGTCCCAGAGACTAGATACGCGACTGCAATCTCATCGTTTAATAAGTAAGACCTAAGGTTGAGCTTGCCGAAGGAAGAAGACAAGCAACACAACCGATCTTGCTGGTGCCAAGAAACAAGATTATTTTAGGCCGAAGGAGCGACAGCAAAGCCGGAATTACGCATGACTGGTTAACAAAAGCAAAGCATGTGAAAGTCACTGACAAGGCGTTAGAAAGTAAGCAACCAATAAGGACATACCTGGTAGCCAAAAGCCTGGGGTGAATTGTCTATTATGACCGTTTTTGTTAAATCCCGGCCAAGCACGCGCAGGTCCTTCACGTAGTTTCCGTTGACAAAAACGCAGTTTTCCCGAAACAGTCGATGTCTTCAAAAGACAGGATAAAAAAAAAGAATGATTACAGCTCCTTGTTTGGGCCCCAAGAGGCAGTTTGAGCAGTAACCTCTGGTGAATGGGTCCAGGTGTTTATCTCTTAACACCAGACAAGGTGCTGTTGAATGCAACAGCAACATATAAAATAAGCGGACTCATAAGACATTCAAGCATCTCCGCGACAGTGTCGGGTGTCTGGGCTTCTAACGAAGTATTTACATGTAGTATAGAGCAATAGTTTGGCAGTAAGGTGGTTGCGGGAATGAAGTACACAAAGACAAATCACCTTATCCATTGTTTCTTGGGGTCAAGAAGATTAACAAGCCGGTCTGCGTAAACTTTGGTGCTCGCTGTAAAGAGAACGACCTCATAGAGCTCAGAAACCCGCTCCAAGAACTGGAAAAGGTGCGGTCTTACGCGTACATACACCTGTGGGTAAGAAAAGTTGCCGTCAAGTCATCCTTCATACACACAAAATGAGCATAACACAGTGACGTCAGGCTGGGTTATGGAAAAGGCTGGATTTCGGCGGCATAAACCAGGCATTTACTAGTAAGTAGAAGCAGAGCTCACCATGTAGACTACACCTTGAAAAACGACCTGAAAGACGAACTGAGCATCAACAAGAGGCTCAAGACTGCAGTGAACTAGGGTCTCGTCCAGATCCAAAACCAGACAGTGCTCGGGGCAGGACCGTGTCCGCTTCGGCAAGGCAGGCGGGTGGGCGAACAGTTCATCGGATACCGGGGGCAATGTCCGAATAAACGCAAATCTGAAAGGGAAAATCGTTTTCAAAATTCTAGCATTTTTTCCGAGAACAGTCGGGTAAAAAGTAATATTCTAGCAAAACGGTCTCCATCGTCTTCCTTAATTTAACCGACTACTATAGTACATTGCGTCGAGGAAGTTGGTGATGAAATCGCTTATTGGTTGGCGCGTGTGAAGGACCTGGAGTCAGACGCCTCTGAGCACTTTTGGATGCCTGCCTCTCATGCCAAAGCCATTAACATAGCACCGCCAACCCCGTAATGCTTGAGTTATCCATCTTGACGACCAGTACGTTAGTGTGAGACGTGCTTAAGATACTTCACATATGTTATTAATTTACTGCTCTCGAGTTCGATTACCCAGTTCCTACCTTATCACGTGTTGACACACTGCCGCACAAAACGATAAGGTCGTGTACCTAAATAAACGATGAGTCCTTATCGAATCCCGACTTCATCTTTTTGATACCTGGTATACCAGGCGATCCTCGATGGACAAGAGTCAGCAGCGACAAATAACTACAAATGGATAAATCGACTCGTACCTCTGGAAACAGAAATTTTGGCATCTCGCCTTCGCATTGACTGACAGGTGCTAACGATGCGCTTGGTGACACTAAATCCCGGCAACGATTAAAATCGGCGGCAATGAAACTCAGCCCTGCCAGATAGCCAACGGTTACGAACATCTTGATACCAAATCATTTTTTTACTAGACTGGTCTCGTTGGACCACTCTTTGAACTGGAAAAAATGGTTGCGCGTTCAAACGCATTTGTCATATGTTTACTGCTTATAATTTGCTGTGTACACCGATTATTTTCGCAATATTGTTTGGGACAACGCCTATACGTTGTTGAACATCCCAGATTGTCTTTTATAGAAGCCGCCATTGATAACAGTTTGCGATACGGGAAGCATGAGCACGCACATTGTCAACCACACTACCAACTCTGTCCACGTTTGGAAACTCAGGATGTATGGAGGTACCACGAGGCCTTCGGGAGTACGGCACTCGAATGTCTGTTCCCGTGTACTTACGTCACACACCCTCAAGCAAAATGATGGGGAAACAAGGACTCACTACGGTACAGACAATCACAAACAATAGGCATCATCTTTTCATTCACGCCACATAAGCCAGTATACGATTCCTGATTAACTCCCTCACCTAAATCAGTTTTCCCACCAACGCTTATTCAAAGTAGATCATCCAATCCCATCTCTATTGCCCCAGCAATGTAGGTTTCAACGACGCCGGTTTCGATGGGTGTTCACAATCGCGGCAGTGACGCACTCAATCCAAACCGTCGGCTTTCTCGTCGACCCAGTCTCTCAGTTAAAGATCTGCGGTCATTCAAAAGGCACTCTTAAAAACAGCAACGCTCCCTACTTGAACTAGTTACAAAAATAACCCACCAGCAGAACCCAAGTTAAAATCACCATCCAGTTAACACTCAAGTAATTCGACTGTCTCTAGCCCATGATGATCCGCCAATCAGGCAGTGATGTGACACTACCTTTCTGAACTCAATATGGCTCTCAGATAAGCCGTGGTTGAGCGGTGTCCGTGCAATGAATAGTGTGTCTCAAATTACCATACCGAACCGATAGCCGAAATAAAACCTTCACTTCTCGTATAACCTATACAGCAAATCTGTATTATTCCAGGCACGTAGGACCCGTTTCATGTACCACATAATTCGGTTTGCTTGAATTTGCGTCAATACCTTTCGGGTTAAGCAAAGAAGCTCGGCAATTCATGTACTGACTGGATTCGACTTTGTGTTTTTACGCATAGACAGCGGCCTCATAGTTAGTGAGAGGAGCACAAACAACAATTCGACACATTTTTCACGTAAACGTTTAGAGTTGTGAAACTTGAGCTCCTGAAAAAATCACTTCAGTGATTATACTAGACACTGAATCGAAAGCAAAATTCGTGAACCTCTTGAACCGAAGTCAATAAATCAGCTTAGGTTTGCCGGGTAGGGTTAATTTCAATCGCGGCCCAGACTGCTCTTTCTGACGAAACCCATCTTTTAGCTAGGGGCGCAGCTTTTGCGGTAGACCGTGAACCCTTCAAACCAATTACACTGAAAGGTTTAAGTGGGCCCGAAAACGTTACTGATGTTAACGAATTTAAGGTAGGCAATTTACGAACCACAACATCCACAAACTGCTAAGCTCCCCGGCCAGTGAAATTTCAGTAGGCTCTCCGAGAGAAATCGCAACGGCTGGATTGCCTCCTACGCAGGCCATATTACTGGCGAAGACAACACTACCTGATACTACCTAATGTTCGTACACTGGTGCAATAAATTCTAGATCTCAGGCGAATTTCAAAAATACGACGCAGAATACGATGAATACCTGTACTCACAACACATCACACCATGCACTACCATCTGGATACCATTGTCTGCCATCGGGGGAACGGGAAAGAAGATAGTGCTTCCAGCTTTTTATTTTTTGATCGAGATATCAAACAGCAGACGCTAGCAGACTTTCCGATAGTCATGAGCCAATTGGAACTATACGTTCGGACAAACGCATATCGGCCGGTCGTTACGGTGCCAGAACAGAAAATCTCCAGGTCTAATAAACAAGCCTACTGACTTAAGTCTTCTTTGACTTTTATAAATGCTCTGTGACCGAGAACGAGGAGGGATCAATATAAAGGCTCTGTGGAGTGACCCAGACAACACAAAAACAGGGAAAAGAATAAGTTGCCTAAGATTATTATAAACATGCGATTATAGTACACAAAACTACCAAGAAAAAACGAAACTACACAGAAACCGGTACCATAAACCTGCCAAGAACCATGCTTTAAAACAAAAACTCACGGGTCTACTTCACACAATTCACCAGCATCCGCCTCATATTCCTCAGCCGTGGGCACCGTAGCAGGCTGTGTCTCTTCCATAGATTCAACAGCATCCACAACCTCAGGTGTCACGACATCCACGCCCATACATGTTACCAGAGAGACATCTTCCTCCCCATCAGCATCACCCTTTGTTTCAGTACTGCTAGTAGGCAAGAGAGAAGATGTTGACGACGATGCGGTAGAAGCATCAGCTGAAGAGTCACTAAGCCAAGACGTTTCCTCTGGTGAATGAGACATGCAGTGGCTTCCGACAGAATCTTGCTGCTCCTGGCCACTTTTAGGATGGATAGGTGACTGCCAAACGGGAACCAACGTCGGCGGAGTAACATGAGTAATGAGAGGAGTTGAAGAAGATTGGAAGTGAGGAACTAGATTGGTTTGTGGGTTTGGTAGAAGTGATAAATGACACGTTCCCCGACGATGACGACGGTAGTTGCCGCAGCTTGAAGACACAAGATTCGGACGTCGGCGTGATTTACGACAAGCCCGTGCAATAGAAGCGGACTAAAATTGTGAAGTTGGTTAAAGAATAGGTCTTGATATCAGTTGGTAGTTATTTATAACCACTATCAACCGCAAAAGGTTCAGTGACATGCTGCGGCAGTGCAGGTGCGATGATGTAAGATACGACACTTCTAAATACATTTACAGTTGTGAGTCAGGAACAATAACGCCACAGAACCATTAAGGAAAACGCACCTTAATTTGTGCACGTTTGAGATCCTGAATGCACAGCGAACCTAGAGACGAATTAGACTCTAAAAAAGGAATGATTTTGTCAAAATAAAATGCATGGTGAAAAGCAAATCATTGGTAGACATAAAAACGTTACCTTGAGAGATTGATGTGAGCTCGGCACTGACAAAAACATCGTCGTTAGTGCTTTCTGACGCAGGCACTGCATAAATGGGTGAGAAAATTTGTCCAGAAAGTTTACGCCGTGTCCTCCTCGGACACTGAGGCGGAACGGCAACGGTACGCGATAGTACCGGAGCCATTTAAGAACCTTGATGCTACAATGTATATTTAAACTCACTTCAACGCCATGATAAAAAACATTTACCGTTCAAATAACTGAAACTATTATTAAGTGAAACAAATCTTTTGGATGAAAATAGACTAATGTGAGCGTATTGTCTCGGGAAAATGGTAGATAACACAGGCAAGACATAAAAGAATTAAAATAAAAGCAAATGTACGACATGTCTACGAAAAGGGATTTACGTATCATAAAGGCTTAAATAAAAAAATTAACCAACACCGAATAGCACGGAACACGGAGCCAGGTACATGTAACAAAGCATGCAATACATGACACATAGGTATAACCCAAAATTCCACTCCAAAAAAGAGACCAAGTAACAAAAACACAAAATGAACTACCTGAAATAAACCTATGCCAACAGCACGGGCTGTCTACAAATGTTTAATCACTTCGAAGATAAAGCAGTTTTACGACGGATTTGGGGAGTCGGCTTGAGTGAATTAAACGTTGACATGCCTATATTCGGTATAAAAACATGGGCTGTTAAAGGATTTAAAAAGATATCTCAACACAGAAAGATAAACAGGCGAAATTATGCAAAGAAATCAAGATGACAGACATACATCAGTCTCTTGAAACCAGCGCGTACAATGAATTCTTAACGACCTAAACAAATGTATCTATTTTGAAATTTTGACTAATCTTCTTACCAATCAGCATAAATTTAAATATATACTTCAATCTGCACTAGGTGCTTAAAATATATAAAACCAAATAATTAGATGATCTGTGTATAGATATCTTTTTGGTAATTGTGTGAATCTGAAATTTTTTAATGTTTCTTGGAATAGTAAAATACATACGTCAAAATGCATTTTGCAGTTGCTTTCGCATTGTTGTAAGCTATTCAACGAATTTTAGAGTCATCCTCGTTTTATTATCCACGAAGCAAAAGAACGTAAATCAATTTTTCGACTTCTGGAAATATTTTAAATCTCTGTATTAATGTAGATGTAAACTTGTCCCTATATTTTGCTTACTCCACTTTTAAATGCAAAAAAATTTTTGCATCTTTTACAAAAGTGGTGCTGCACAAAAAAGGAACAGAGATATAACATTACTTTAAACTAACGCTGACTCCATTATATAGTGTAGTAATTCAACATTTACGCATAGTTATTTCTTAACTTCTTTTTTAAACAATACGCCTTGGACATCCGATTCACTGCAGCTAATCATTCAAGGTAAAAGGTTTACCATAATCAAGCAGCCAATCTAGTGGTCGATTTAACATAAATCATAAATGCTCCTATAAAAAATAGATATTTACCATCGCATGTTATTACCCTTTAAACGCTTTTGTCTGGAGAAACTTTTTACAAGTGTGCTGCCAAAAAGACCATAGCGTATGTGATCAACGCAATTTTTTTAAACTTCGCTAGAACATGTCTTAGTTGAACATATTTTCATACCACATAAACTCGACAAAACGCAAAAAATATAATTTAAACAATAAGACAAATTGGTGGCAACGGCTATTATCTAAGTTTGAGTGGACCTGCAACATTTTTAATTAACCTGCCATACCTTTTTGAGGAACGTTATAATTATCTTACCCAGAAAAAGCATTGATGTGGCGGGTATATATTTTTCAAATTTTTTGAAAGAGAGAGTAACAAAATTAACAACATAAATTATTTAGGATTCAAGCTAATAATATATTTTTGAATCCACCTTTGATGATTAAAGCATTTTATTTTGAAAATAATGCCAAATTTTATTGTATAAATTCAAGATACCTGATTGCATCATTTGAGCAGATTTCAATGGTCTGGACCAACGATTTTTTAGACATTCAATTTCATCTCTTTTTCTTTTCTAGAGGTTTTTACCTCAAGTGCTCTATGATTTTTATAATAAGTAGTCGAAAGTTTGTTCCCAATTTTTTCCAAAACTTAGAATTACAGATTATTAATTTGGTTTACTTATGTAAATTGAGTAGGTTTGACCTGAAATTGCCGTAATGTTTTCTGGCCATTGCCACAAAGTTTATTTTTTACAAGAAAAGCATCAAGAAATTCACATGTAGTAATTGGTTGTGTTCATATTAATTTGGTGGTTACACACAGCACCTGTGAAATATGTTAGTTAATAATGTCTAGCATATGTTTTTGCCAAAAATATTATGGACATAGGTATTTTTTGCATTTTTTCCCATTTTATAAAAGAAATTTTATTGTAACGATAAAGTCGTAACATACGACAAAAACTCTTAAGCACAAGGAATTGAAATTTAACATACATTGTTTTTTTTTGACGCAAAAGTTTTGTGTAATCATTGTAAGAATAGTATATTGGGAAAAAGTCGGTCAGCGTCTCATTGGCCTTTCACGCGCCTCTCTTAAGTCATGTGTGTTTAGTGTGCACGTTGGGATCGGTTGCCACAGAATGGGTTTTGCCAAAATTGTCACAACCACACTAAGATATCGCAGCAGTTTCCAGGCTAATAGAAAGTACTTGGAAGACAATGTATTGCGCACAGACACATTCCAAAAAAGCTTACCTCATTTAGGTGTTCCGGATCTAGACAAAACCCTCTATCGTTATCTGGCTTCTCAGGTACATTTTGGTATGTTTACGAATATTGAAGTATAGGAAGCTATTGATCAAAGTAGTCTTTTTGCCAAAACAAAGATAGCTGTTGAAAACTTTGGCAAATTTCGCGGCCCTGAGCTGCAGAAGATGTTACTAATGTTTGATGCTCACAATCCAGACTCCAGCTATGCTAGCCTGCTTTGGCTTGAATTATTTCTAGGAGATCGACGCCCTATCGTCCTCACACATAACCCTGTGTTCCTCTTCAAGCAATCTTCTCTTGGTCCTGAATATAACAACGTTGGTGACCGATTTAGTTTTTATTTTTGTAATGAATTACTTTTTATACCTCGATTGCCTGTTAATACATATTCTACCCTTCCCAGAAGTGTATATTTCAGTGACATCTCAGTTCATTGTGTTACCCGCTTTTGTTTTTATAATATTCTGGTTTTTTTATTATCCGGAATGCCATTTTTCGATGTTCTTTTGAGGTTATGTAACACAAAGTATCACAACAGATGTATCAAGCGGTGTAACCAAATCTATCCTCAACCCCCAAAAATAGAATAAGTTTTCTATTGTTCGACGTGGTGATGTGGTGTTTGCAATATTCTTGGAAAGATTAAGCCGTTTATGGGTGGAAAAATGTCATTTTCGATTACCTTAATCAGGTGAGGAAAATAGTCTTTTTATGGTATTTCGATGTCTTAATTGGTGTAGGGGAAGTAAAAGCGTCTTCAGCCAACCTAAAGGCGTTTGCTCCCAGAACACAACTTTTAAGGGCTGATAAAATAATCGTTAGCGTGACCAGCCATGTAGTTGCGTTTTCATCTACTTTATTCTCCATATTCTGGAAAATGTGTCATCCAACTCGATACTCAATTAGAAATACGCACTGAATTCCACAAAGGGTTTGGAACTTCAACAGATGCCTTAATGATAAGTTTTGCATGTTGTTTATTTATTACCACTCACTTGTGGAGCCTCTGACGTTGCCATTTACAATTTCCTTTGTTTCAACTATTTGTGTCGCCCTTGTATCGTGCATGAATGAATTTTACTTCCCAAGACTGCCATGATTTATTTATATTAAACTGTTCTGGATGCCATGCGTGTTTCGAATTCAGCGTGTTAACCTAGCGAAACTTTCTATGTTCCGTTTTAGACAGTGATTCGCGCGGCCAACTTGGTTCACAGTTCTCTTCGTTTTTTGAAGTCTCTGCGGGATAACAAACTAAAACCCGATATTCTTCACTCTTATCCTGCAATATCAAGCTCAAAAGCATTCGAACGTCTCGTTGGGAATTTGCCGTCTCTTGTGGCGACGTATGGTTCTTATTTGTTCAAGGTGGATCGATGTTACAGTTAGTCCTAACCAGCCCCATTAACCGTTGAATGTTATTCTTTAAAATAACAAGAATCAGGTGAATTGTCTGTCCAATATAAACACGATTAGTTTATATCCACAAACTCCTTGAAGTTCTAATTCATGCAGGTTTGTACTTGTTGGTAATATCCCAGTTAAATGCCCTCCTAGGCATGTTCTGCATACCGTTTAACCTATCTCTTGGAGCGCAATTTTTAAGACTAGGATCGACGGTTTATGTGTCGTTAATTAGATCTTCAAATCTCGGTTATTGGTGTTGGCCTGGCCATGTTAGCTTAAGTCTTTGTTTTTAATGGTCCCGTCAATTGCATGTATCACTTTACTCGGTTGCTTTGTAAGACAGGCTTGAAAGAATCGAAGTTCTTTTAATTGTTTGATTTTACATTCACGTTAGTAAATTGTAAAGTTGGGTTCATTTCTAAGCCTCTATTGGCTAATGCTAATTAAAATAATCGGTTGTGACCATAGCCGAATACCGACTAAACCACTTTTTCCGTGTGATTTTTGGCAGCCCTAGCCCCGATTGCAGGAACGCCGTTAAACCGCGTGACATTCTTTGGCAAGGTGTTCGTCGTTTCTTCACTAAAGGCTTATCGTCCTAGGCCCTACGGGTTGCTCTGTTGTAATCATCTCTTAATCATCTGTACGTAGTATTTTTCGGGGTCTTACAGTCACCAACCTGTTGGCTTTCAAAGAATACTTTTAATTGTACTTCACGCCCAAGTATTCGGGACACTTACTGCAGGGAAGGTTCCTTGTTATCGAAATTTCCACTTTATTGAGCATAATAATAGGTGCTGTTTAGGGACAACAGCAGTTCTGCTCTGTACTGGTGGCGGAAATGGGCATTTACCACTTATTAACACTTGGTAATATCCAATAAATCTACTCACATGTTTTTACTATGCAGAAGTGTTATTGATCAAGACTAGAGAAAAGGTGGTGGCCATCTTAATAAAAACGTTGTATCAAATTTTAGTCCTTCCCTTTGGACATGAGTCAATATAGGAATTTGTTCAACTCATCCCGGATTCCAGGAGAGGTTGTGGATAGACACGCAACATTCATGGAAAGCCGCCATATTGTCGTCATTAGCAAAGGAAAATTCTACACCTTTGATGTCTTCAATGAACAGGTAAGAAGTCAACTTCTGCAGTTAGAACGCTTAAGTCAATGAAAAGCATGACTTCTTCCAATGTTAATGCACATTTTACTTCGAGGCCTTCGGTTTGTGCCTCACTACTTGCCCTTGTTATAGCGTCGTGGCAGTGTGCTAGCTGATGGCGGCTCACTAAAACAAGTACACTGCTTCACCGTACGTGGCGAAACGTCACAACATTTTTCGGTGAATTCACTAAACCAATTTAGCTGAAACTACCGCGCGTCGCATTTCATGAATATCAGTGAATCTGAGTGAAAATTGAGCAAATCGTCTGTGAATTGGACTTGTACTGCGCGCCCCTATGGACCTGTGCTCGAAACACGTTGATCGTCTACTTTTGTTGTTTAAGTACAACTTTTATTTATTAGGATGACCAAATACCGTCGGAGCAATTGGTCTCCAATCTGGAGTTAATTCGCAATCAACCAGAACACGCTGCAGAGAGGCCCAGTGTAGGCGTGGTCACAGCAATGGACAGGGACAGCGCAGCGCTCGCCCGTCAACGTTTAACGTTCCTTGACGGTGGCAGTGGAGGTATTAACGCAAGAAATCTTAAACTTATTGACTCGGCCGTCATGGTGCTTGTTTTGTGTGAAGGTGTCTCCGATCATCTCCCGGAATTAGTAAGTACCCAGCGCTCGTTCACATCACCTACTTGCTCCCCCCCCCTACGACGCATTACAATAAACCACTATCGATTGCTTTATTTAGATGCGTACGATCAAACTGGCGCATTTAAAGTCCCGAAAGTGTAGTCCTGTGTTACAGCACAGACTCTCAAAAAGACATCGCATGTACCTTTATTAATTTGACCTTTTTGACCCTTAGCCAGTTCCCGACTTGAATCCTTGCAGCCTTTTCCAATCGGGTCTATCTCAGATCTGTTCTTGCTTACGCGTTTAACCCGGAGCCTAACTCTACCTCGCACTATACTTAACAAAACGTATCCTCGTAGTCTAGTAAAAACAGTGTATTCTCCCGTCTCTCGGCCACTTACTATGTTTCAGGACTTGTAAATAGTGTCTCGGTAGGCGTCGTGTCTTTGCAGTTGGGTGTGTCCATGCTTGATGCCCGATTCCGGAAGTTTCTTTCCGGCTCTTTTAAGGTCAATAAACGCTTAATTTAACTTTGTTAGCCGTCTCACCTTGATTTTGGCCTAAATATAGCTGGAGGACAACGACCTTTTTCTTGTTTAAGTGCTCGACTATGTGGTCTTCTGACAAGTAACTTCATTCAAGCAAGCTAGTACTGATTCATGTGTGTGTGTGTGTGTTTGGTTGGTCTGCATTGAGTCTTGCAGACGAGAAATCACTGAGAAAGGCCAGGATGTGTGGTTTCGCTGGTGTTGCGGACTCAACGCCATTGAAGCCAAGTGATCGGAGTTGTACTTTTTGTCCCGATAATTTTCCTCTGGTTTTGAATCTGTCCGTAAATATTTTGAGCAAAAGCCTCCGATTCGAGTCTGCCAGGAAAATGTCGAAGCTCCGGACAACTTGAACAAGTGGAAGTGAATTCGGCCTTGGCCGCTATTCTAGGTGCCCATCGACTAGGAATGAAATTCGCGCATTTCAACACTGAGGCCCGCGTTAAACAGCAACGCACATCGCCTATAAATTCTTCCCACGTGAACCTTGTGGTTGTTCTATCAGCCGCGTCACCTAATGCAGATCCCCTGCTCACTTAAATCCACTTGCCTGACTTGGTATTTATAAATAAGTTAATCTCCACCCATGTTAGAACTCCTTTGGAGGCTCCGTTTCCTCCCACCCAAACTTCTACAGCAATTTATAGCACACATCACGCAGCCCCCTGAAGTGAATGAGCTTGATTTCGTTCGTGATGCCATGATGATTTCCCATTGTCTTTTTTGTGAGTTCACTCCCTGCATTTCGCACAATACCTGCACTGTATTTTTTCTGAATGTTTTGCGCCCATCTAGTGGGTCAACAAAAAACATTCCTTTGATGATGCAGGAAAAAGTTGCGATGCCGCCCAGGCGCTTTTTTGTCGTGAACCCTCGTGGTCCATTTAATCCCTTCATAAGTCATTTTGTTAGTCGGTCCTATCCATCAAGCCCCGTTCCACTTCGTGTAACGACGCAACGGTTTAGGAACCCACCCGGTTAATTATGCACATCTACATTTAGTTTTGGAGTGATTCACTCTGACTACTTTAATGTTAGTGCTAAGTTGAACACCGATTTACAGGTGTTCGATCTCTTATTTGGAGAATAATCTCAAGATTTACCAGAATTATGGAAGTCGTTCTAAGCATCCAAGCGTCATGTGGAAAAGTAGAGCCCTGATGTGTGTGTCTCTAGGTCTAGGAGTACTACTCCTCTTCCCAGGACAGTTTGGGTTTTGAATCCTGTCTGGTTGTGTTTTGAAGAGGCAGGCGTCCGGCTCTGTTAGCTTGCCTCGAGGGTAACCCCCTATCCTCAGTGTGATTTCAACGACTTTTTAAACGCAACCTTCCGGCGGTTAGTAGAATTACTTTTCACCAAGACACTTTATAAATAATTTATTCAAAAAGTGATAGAGGCGGTCTGTGGTGGTTGGCGTGGGTGTTTTGCTTCAAGTGACCATCAAGTCCTTGCAATAAAACAGTACTAATAACGGTTTGAGAAACGACTGTTTGCAAAATGAGCTTAGCTTCGTTCTTCTGGTATTTATTAGGTGTGTGTGACTTAATCCGTAAGAAAGTACACCCATCATGTCCAACTAGATACACACGTGAATGTCCCATTTCGGCGTCGATGTACTGGGTATCCCTGGATCTACCCACAACATCTCTTTACGTTTGGGGTTCTCTTAAAAAAATTCATACTTTTCTTCATCCGTTGCAATTTTCCACAAGAATTCATTTATTGTTGTTGGTGGGCGCGCAGTGTAAGGCATGTGTTCATACGTTGACCTAGGTTGTGTTCTGTCAATACATGTGGAACTCAACTTCCAAGTTTTTGAATTTTCCCATTTGGTGGTGCAAACGCTTGAAAATAGCTGTTTGGGTGACTCCTTATTGAGCGTCTGCGTTAAATCTTCGTCCTACGGAGCTTGCGATTCCGCATCTTCAAAGTTTCAAGGCTGCTGGCCGAGATGCCATCGCCGTTTTTATAACTTTTATACAAATAATTACATATTCCTAAGACACAACGTCGACATCACCAAGAACGCTACATCTTGATTCCCCTCGTGCTTTAGAGACATTTTTCCTTGTTGGAATTCGTGTAAAGTGCAGTGCCATCGAATGTGCTAATCACCAGTTGCCATCGTCGTAAATTCTGCTATTCTGAGAGGTTATGTAACTCACGTAGACTTGTCCTTCGGGGATCTGAAACCTTGCATCCGATCCTGTCAAAACCACAAGAGACTGCCAAAATATTTCCATTTCTAATTAAAATTTAAAGCTCGAAAATCCTTAACAAAATTAAGTCATGCGCCTTACACTTTTTTGACATGCTGAAGCATCCTTCTTCTCTTCAAACGCCGGTTATAAGTAATCTTTTTTAATCTCGTGGTAAATCGCGTACTTCATAATTGCGGCTATCTTTATTCAGTGTTTTTGCAGTGGGACGTTTCCCATATACTGTTCCAGAAGATGCACAAATACCAAGCCATGGTAAACATCGAGCTGGCTGCAAGTACTAGGTCGCTGTTTGGTATTACTCCAACTCACGCAAGCCAATGCATGCGCTCTTTGTCCCTCTGTTGTTCCGTCTCGTAGCTCTCCACGGTGCTTGCGGGCCCTGCGGACTCCCGTTGGTTCGACAAGTCGTTCAGTCTCATCGTCAATCGCAGTGGCTCCGCGGCCGTCAACTTCGAGCGCAGTTTGTGCGACAGTGCAACGGTTCTGCGTTTCGTCAGTGACATCTTCAACGACTCCGAGACACGGCCCTCCGTGGATCCGTGTCTTCTTGAAAACACCGAACGGTACGATTGTGCTGTTCCCTTTTTTCGCCATGGTAGGCATCTTTCTAAATGTGCCGCCGATTGCTTCTTTTTAAAAATCGAAAATGAGGGTTTTTATTCCTCCGAGTGTTGCAGATGCATGCACTCTTTACCACATTTGCAGTCGTTGTCGAATTATGAAGACTTTTAGTCAGCCTGAAGTTATCTGAATTGTGTGCTAATCGTTTTGCTGAACATTCGGACACATCCTGGAGCCCTAGAGGTCTTGAGAAATTTATTTTCTTTCAAAATATAGCACTTGGTAACCAAATTCAGGTCTAAATGGCCATCTCGATTTTTCCAAATTTACCATGAATAGAAGTTTGGCCTTTTTCGGGGAAGTTCCACCATGAGAACTCCCTTCAATCAGCATATCAAACTTGTCGCCTGTCTCTAGCAATTGTTTCCCCATACTTTAGTGTTTTCATTCTATAGTAACTCACACACATTGTGTAAGGGTTACAACTTAATATGAGAGAGCTTTATAGTTAGGTCCATTGACTCATTCCGATCTGATCAATCAGACCAAAATAGTACTTCCGAACAATCCGCGCGTTTGATATCCAAGTCGTTTTAGAATCCTTTACTCAAAGTAGGCTTAACATTATCTGCTATGTCCTGCTTCAGTACCACATTCTCGCACTTGAGTTTGAGGCTAACCTGCACCATCGTACACTGATATTTTGTGATGTTACGGCTGAACAAGCCTTTCCAGGCTCATACTTAGATCCATAAGTGTTTTAAATAATCACAAGGAAGAAAGTAGCCTTGTGCATTGTATTCGAAACCCCATCCAATTGCCTTCCGTTAGACATTTGCAAGAAAAAATGTTCCCTAAAGGAGAGAACTCATGGGGTGAATGTCGGTCACAAGGCTGCGTTCCTGCACAATATCACTAAATAGCCACTCCCCAAGTAACACGCAAGGCAACTGAAGATGGGTTCGCATAAGGATCATT